TCTGGTAATGTCATTTTTTTCTCTGGCCTCCAAGTTGTAAGAGAGGGGTAGGGTCATAAACTTAGAGTACAAATGAAGAGGCAGAAGCAGCCTCACCAGCCATGACCTGTTGAAAGGTCAAATCATCAAAAGAAAAAGAGATAGTGATACAAAAAGCCTTGCTAAAACATCCTTTGCAATATGTCATGATCCTGGCCCAGGTGCACTGTACCTTATGAAATTATGTATTATAATATGTGCCAGCTCTGCTTTCACATAAAATCAAAACTGCTTTAAGTAAGCGATTAGATTATCTCTTCCATATTCACACCTTTTTTTTTTTTTTAATTAGTATTTATCCTTGCTGACATGAGTTTATGTACCACATTATTCCTTTCATTTTCTGGACAGTGGTTTTTTGTTATTGTTATGAATTGTTTCTGTGGTCCTTTTGAGGCCCCTAAACAAGAAATCAGAGTCAGGAGAATTGAACATGAATTAAAGTGAAGGAAGAGAGAGACTAACCAGAGAGAGCAATGACAGCAAAAATTACTTTTGGGGGAAAGAACTCAGCACAAGCAGAGGAATGAATGGACACAAAGGAAAAAAATAATGACAAGAGAGAAAGAGAAGACACAGTAAAAAATAAGAGGTGGAAAAATTTGTAATACTGAAGAAAAAGATACACAATAATCTGCTATAGGGGAAAGAAAACCATTAGGCTGCAGAGAAGACTGAAAATGAAGTCAAAAGAATACACAATTTTATTCCAAAACCAACTGAGAGGCCAATAAGTTGTCAAATATAGGACAAAATTGAATAATCCTTTAAATTACAAGATACATGACCTCAGAAGAGAGGCAGCAGTTTTCAGGGTTTTTTCCCATCCATATCTCAGGCAAAAACTGGAGGTGTTGAGTAAATCTTTAATTGAGAGCATAAATGATTTACATGTTCGCAGCAATACATCCCTCCTTCCTCTGCCACCGAGTGGAATTCTTTCACAGCAAGCATCAAACCTTGATTTCCAAAGTCATTGTCGTAAATAAAGGCCAGTCCTCTAAGCTTTCTCTCCTTTCTGACAGCACATTGCTTTGTGCCCACTGTCCATTTGAGAAATTTCTCTTTGAAAGTGTGTGTTTTAGAGGAACATGGCAATCCAAACAAAATAGCTGTTTATAGCCTTAGGAGGTTAAAAAAAAACAACTGTTAGCATTTGGATGTTTCTACAATTAACGTTTGTATGATCTTACATCTTAATGTGAATATATTTGAATGCTTTTGGGTGCTGCATAATAAAGAGCTGGTTACTAAACTTAGCAGCACTTCATGTAGATTAGACATTATAATTGATGCTTACAGAACAGGACCCAGAGAAATGAATTTTATGTTGCTCCAATTTCACTGGTTTAAATTAAAGAGTTACAAAAGGCCTTTATACCATGCAGGAAGAAAAAGGTGAGTGCATGGATGATGGCAATCGTGTTTATTTGTTCTCTGGAAGTGCATGGATGTCTCGTAATTCTTGCTCAGGATGAGCTCTCCCAGCTCAATTCCCTGTGCTGCAGTCTTGCTTCATCAGACTTCAGCCTCTTCCTCCTCCAGCATCCCTGTTTCCTTGTCCTTTGTTTCAGTTCTTGAACAGTGACAGCATTACAGCCTTGAAAGTTGTCCCTGTCCCAAAAAAACAGAAGAATACTGCTCACAATGGGGTTTTCTTTCAGTCCTGTAACCACTTTTTTCCAGCCTGAGGCCTTGGGCATGCCATGGGTTTTCAGGTCACAGTTCAGGAGCAGGCTGACTTGGCTTGCCTCCCCAAAATTTTCATGTACTGGTACATATTCCCCTGCCCCCTTCCTTCCCCATCCCTGCTCCTCTTCATGCTTCATTCAGCTCTTCCAAAAATCCTAATTTTTGGGTCCAAATCTGTCCTAACACCTCCTGTTAGCCCAGGCTTTAGTGATTTTCCAGTCAAAGACCTGGGTTCATGCACAAAGTTTGGAAGAGGAGGCTTTGCCTAGAGCACAAATACTCTCCTTTCTTTCTCCTGTTCCTGTGCCAAAAGACTTAATTGATCAACCTGTATAGATCTGCTGGCACTCTGCTGTGCCTTCAGCAGAAGAAAGAATGCCAGAGGCATAAAGTGGGGATAATTCATATTAGTCAGGCTGGAAGCTGTATATTAGGATAGATAACCCAAATCATCCCAATACGATCTTCTACGTGGGAGACAATTTTCTGTCCAGATGCCAGACCTGAGGTCAAGCAGCGAGATTTGCACCTCCTGAGCCAGGAATGTAATTCAGCTGCAGCTGATCAATGACAGCCTGAAGCAGATGGAGCAGCTCCAGGATTGTATCCAGGTACAAAGCCCTTATCCCAAGTACACAGCCCTTATCCTGAGGGCAGACTGCAGCCTTGGCCAGCTCCCTCCTAAGAAGGTGCCACGAGGCTCCCAGTCTGGCATTGAAGGGCAAAGTGATACCACCACGTTATGGAGAAAAGGAATGACTTGGATATCTGACCCCCAGAGACAAATTTGCATTGTGCTGGATTCATAAGGCACTAAGGAGAGAAACCTCATCCTTCTTTGCATATCCCACAAAGGAATATCACAGAAAATGATTTAATAAGGAAGAAGGAACCCCCTGAATCTAGAATTTACCTCCATCACAAGTAATCCTGAATAAACACCATTAATGATCACTGGCAATGCTACTACAAGATTCTGTCCCAGCAGTTCCTTGTTAAGCTGGTCTGTTCCAAACACTCTAATCTAAAATTATGTTTATCAGGGAAGTCATAAAAGCAGGAACTCCAATCAGCAACGTTTGATGAAAGAAAGGAATAGATAAGATTTTTCATATGCCTTGTTAAATAATGGCAGAAAAGGGAGGTGAAGACAACCACAGGCAGGGGAAAACCTGTAATCAGGCTTCATTAATACTATAGTTAATTGATTTTCTGCTCAGATTCCAAAGAGGAACAGGAAGCTTCCTTTAAGGTGGGTAATAGATTAACAAACATTGGAGAGGCAGAAAGGAAGGGACACACTTGTATGTAAACAAAGTGAACTTTTCCAGTTCTGAAAACTTTATTTGCTTCAGAAGTTAGCATGAAACTCATTGCTACAATATTCACAGACAATTCTAAGCCTTAAAAGTTGGGGGTTTTTTCCCTGTTCGTGAAAAAATCCCCTCTTCTTTTATCATATCTGGGGAGGCATAAATTGAAGAATCCAGTGTTGCTCAACTCTGCTAATCACTTGGCCTACATTTGATTCTCTTTCCAAGTGGTGATTTAGATGCTGTGAGACACAGGAAGAGAAACAAAAACTATTTTCCCAGAATGAAAAAGGCCTGTTTTAATTCAGCTCAGGTAAACTATACAGACTTTTTAAGTGGTTGGAGCTGGCTAAGATTAAACAGGAGCGATACAGTGCCAGAAGTGTTGTCCAAAAATATTATCAAAGCACTGGTCTGTCTAACCACATAAATATGTTTATATGGGATATTGCTCTCTGAAATCCCATGGGCTGCAGAGCAGAGTTTTCCCATGGCATCTCACCCAAGCCCTGATATGTCCATTATGTCAGTGCTGAATTCAAACCAATAGTCCAAATCCAAGAGCAATGCTACCTTACAAATCTGTCTACCTCAAAGTGCACCTTTTTTTTCCCCCCCTCTAAAACCTTTTCCTATTTATACCCTGCTTCAACAGCTGTGCTTTATTCCCCATTCAACATCCATTTTCCCTTAAGAGGGATAATTAATTTAGAACTCCAGGCAATCAGACATAGGTGAGAAACCAGCTTTCCTGGCCTTGCCTTTCTTTTCTTAGCCATTAAATGGTGCAATTGTGCCTCACGTTTATATGGGAACAAGGGAATACACCCAAAATCAAAACCAGAAAATAATTCCTTTTATTGCTGTGCTAACATAATGAAATATAGAAGTGCAGAAGTCATACTCCTCTAATACAGTATTAATTCATCCTGGGTTCTTAGGTACTAAAACATCAAGAACTGACAAAATTAGGCTTTGATGTGTCATCTTCACTTAAGCAACCACATGCTTGCCCAAGTAAATAGTTTCAAGAGCTGTTTTCAGGTAATACTTCAGAGATTTCATTTTCCCATCAGAGCAGAGCATCCTGTTTGCATTTATTGAAGCTTTCTGTAGATGCTCCCTGTTTTTATTCCCAAAGGCTGCCAGAAGTCAGGTGCTTCAGTTACAGGGTGAATCCTGGCCCCTCCTTACCCAAAGTGACAGACGCAAAAGGTCACATTGACACTGCAAAAAGGAAAAATGAGTCCCCAGGCTATGTGAGCTGTCGGTTTAGGTGTTTTGTCTGAGCTGGTCTTAGGGTGTTGTTGAGCCTTAGAAAGAAATTCATCCTCTGGGACTTGAAAAGGAAGAGTGGAACTGGGAAATTTTTGATGTCACCCTTCTCTCAGTCAGGTTTTAATCCCGTAATCTGAGAGACCATCTCCCTCGCTGCCTTGGGTGACCTTGGTACTCTCAGCCACCTTGTCCTGCTACCTCAGGGAAGGAATACAGTGCAGGAATCAGGTCATAGGTGTCCTAAGAACATATCAATGGGCAGATATTGGTGATCTCAGTTATTTAGTGAGATCTGTGCTCTGTGCTCATGTTTCATCACCCTAGACTGAGGTCAAATCCTCTTTTGATTTTAGCATTTAAAAAGCCCTTTCTTGATGCTGTAATTAAGTATATTATTTATTCCATACCCTTCATGCAATGAGTGACTTCTGCTAGCCTGCTTTTTGCATGATTTCCCTTTAGAGCTAAAACAGCTGGGATAGTGAAAAATATATTACTTGTCACCTCCCACCCCCAATATTGGCACAGTGTGTAAAGTACGAAAGCGAAAACACACATGCAGCGTTCTATCACAGTGAGTCTACTTGGATTCCTCTTTTAATAAAATCCAGGTGATTCCATGTGATTCTACCTTTGCAACACAGCATGTGCTCATGCTGGATGCATTGTGTTTTGCAGACGCTACGGGAGAAGCCTGATGGAGAGGGGCTTGCGGATGGGAGCGAGAGAAAACTACATTTACAGTAAATAAAAGCATCACCCACAGAGGATCTCTCAACTCAGTGACCTTTGAAGTTGCAAGGACACATGGCCTAGACAGGTAAGGGAATTACATTACTCATTATTTTACAGTGGTTTGGGGCTGTGAAGCATGCTTGTACAAGGAAAGAGCAGTTTGCAAAACTGTTTAAAAAGAACTGGATTTGTCAGCCATGACAACAGCTAGGGGAAGATTTAAATAAAATAATAGGTGTTTTTCGCCTTTAATGTCTATAATTAGTTAATGCAGCATAAAAACGAGCACATCATTACTCTTCCTCTCTCCACTGTAGAAAAAATCAACAAAGAGAAAACATGCAAACCTAGTATTTTTTAGCTTGTCTTTTAAGAGCCTGGCTCCTGTTTAGTATGCATTTAGTAACGATGCATTCAAATGAATAATTTAGACCTTTGATGACAACTATTCAAGAGCAGTTTTATCAATGTCAGACAGCTTCCTGTTTTTGACTATAGAAACACAAGGCAGAAACCACCACTGCCATTATTAGTTTTGGCTCATCTTCCTGCTGGTTTGGGTAGGAAAGCCCCATTTTAATTTCTTTTTTATTTTTTTATTTTTTTTCTGATAGTGAATTGGCATCGTTACTTTTAGAACCTCCTGATTGTAAATGCTGAATCAAATGTATTAGCTACCATAAAAGAAAAAAAAGCCCTGCCTTATACACTGCTAAAGCTGCAAAGCCAGACACTCCTGGGAAATGTTAGAATTTGCACTGTCTTAATTTTGCAGGTTATTACTTCTGTGTTCCAAGGCACAGACAGTCACCTTACAGGTACTGACAGGCTTGCTTACAACTCACCCAGTGATGCCACATTTACTCACAGATGCTGGAAGAGGGAACCATCCCCACTCAGCAGAGCAGTTTCTTTTGTTGACAGTACTTTTGGTGGCTGTTGTGTGAGGAAGTTTTAAGGAGTTTTGTGTTCAGATGCACACAATTGCTCCACATTCTGGTGCTCACACCGACAGCCTCACAGGGGTTACTTTTAAGTAAAGGACTGTCTGTCCCTTTCTGTTATGGGTCTGTGGATCTAGCAGGTGTAAGGAGTTCAGCTTGTTCTGCATGAAACATCTCAACTGAAGGAAAAACAAGCTCCAACCTTGTATGAATTTTTTCCCATCCCTGTGGGATATTTTCAGGTTGTAGCTTACTATTTCACTGTGTTAGTGAAGGATATTTAGAGTAAAAAGAACTTTGAAATCAAAAGGTCAGCTAAAAATATCACTAAACATTTACTATTCCCTTCCACATTCTCATGGAGATTTTTTCCAGCTTTTTGTTTGAACCTTATTGATTCCTGTTATGAACATAATCTTATGTAGGTGCACACCCTGCATAAGGTGCCAAGCTGCACAGTGTTCTGTTGGATTCAGTAATAGACTTAAATTTAGCAATTTTCTGATTGGAAATAATGCCATTATTCATGTGTCCTTGTACCAACTCCCAAGCTGCTGCCTGGCTCTCTTGACAATATGACGTTCCTGATGCACATTATCTCAGAGGTCAGTGCAGAAAGAAAGGTGTTATACAACACTCAAGAACAAATCCTCCAAGGAGGAGGTCTCAGATAGGCACAAGAATGTTATATACCAATCTTGGCACAATATCTGCTGGGTCCTTAAACACTTTAAATATATGCAGTGCTCCCTTACTGGGTGTTACTTACAGCTGAGAGATCAGCACTGGCTCAGTACACACAGTACAGTCATTGGGACAGCTGGCCACAAGAATGGGGAAGAGCAGTGACTGATGGCTAAACTGGAGGGAACACAAGCTTATTCTTATTTTTTGAAGTTGTATGGAGGTTTTTCTTATAGTTTATGTTACTTTGTAAGCAACCTGCAAAGGCACTTATAGACAGCAATGTAAACCCACAAGCAACCGAGCAGCAGCAGTCAGTTTGTATTCAGAATTTTGCTTCCCTATCAGACCTAAATTTAAAATTTTTGGTCCAGTTGCTCAGTGGCTTAATTGCTATATCTGAAAATTATATAAAGTCTTCAGAGTGTTGTGAAAAAGCAAAGGTTAGATCCTCATCAGCCTAGCAGCCTAGGTGTGAACACAAAGCTGGAGGTAGGAGAGATATCCTTAGAGCAGCCTGGGAGCCAGGACACAGCTTGGCCTGTGCTGAGCATCCTGCTGCTGCAGCCAGCCTTCCTCCTGTCCCCCTGTGCTACAGGCCAGGCACAAGCCAGGGCTGACACTGCCCAGGTGCAAAGGGAGAAGCTGTGCAGTTGCAAGCAGCTGGCACAGCCTGGGCCAAGGAGCCACCAGCTCAGGAGCATTAATGGGGACGTGAGCACCTTCAGGCTCTGCCCTGCCCAGCCCTGCAGCTGCAGCTCGGAGCCTCTTCATTTAGAGGCCTGCGTGCAATTGAGCACAAAAGCTGTGAGGACCTGGAGATTAAAATATTTGATTTGCTTGAGCAGAAAGGACTTACTGACACAAACCAGGGCCTGTGATGAGATCTTGTTTACCAGGCAAGCGTGGGGCTGGAAATCAATACACCAAAATTGCTGTGACCAGAAATTAGACTCACTTAGTGAACAAAATTCATTAAAACAAGCTATGCCTCACATCACACCTTTTGCATGACTGATTTAACACTGTTACTTCCTTCTTTCTTTCTCCCAGAATGACCTTTTTGGAGCAAAACATTTGTAGAAAGTCACTTGTAAAAATTATGAAGTAGAAAATAATAAAAAAAGTCAGTCTTTTATAATGAGGCACTTGATAATAAAGGCTTTAATTAAAATGTTGTTGAGAAACGTAAAAGATAATATAAAAAACCACAGATGTGTGCAGTAAGACACTTGTGCAACATCTTTAGCAATTTCTTTTTAAGAACCTTTGATGGGTTCTCTTTATATTAAAACTTTCTTTATTCCTTTCCCATTAAACATCAGTTGCCTCATACTTGTGCTGGCCACAGTCTTATAAAATATGTTTAATAGATTTTCTTAGCAGGAGTTACTCTGCAAAAGTGATCTGAAGTTGAAGGAAGAAGCTTTGTGAATCAGAGGTGCAGCAGACACAACAACAGGAGTGTGTGAAGTTTTAGAACAAGGGGTGAGACAGGAGCTGGTGACTGGATTACTAATAGAGCTGGGAGAGAAGGATGAAGTATCAGTAACAAACTCCCTGTATCTCTCATGCTAATGTGCCTTTCTTCAGATAAAGGGCAGAAAGCCCCGAGGCCCTGCTCACAGAAATTGGTGTTGTGCTGCTGACTAACAGCACCTCTGGCTAATTTAGGCAAGCAGATTAAAATAAGGCTGATAGAAGCAACAAAAGGAAAGATTTGTGTCCCTTGTATCTTCCCTTCAAACTGATATTCTTGGGATGGCAAAGGTGAGCTGGCAGGACCACCAGTTTGTGGTACAAGCATCTGGTGTGTGTGCTGTCTGCACGTTTTTATGAAGCACTTTTTGGGGGCTGACATTGATTTTCTTTCTTTTTCTCTCCACTTCTCCATCCAAACAGAAATATCCTCCAGCTAGTGCTCATCCCAGCAAGAACAGTAGTAGTAGTAGTAGACCTATGTGTATATGGTGGAGAAAAAGAACTTCAGTCTCCATTGTATTGCTGGCAATCAGCAGAAACTGAGAGCTGCTTTTTCTCTCCTAAATCCTCACCCACAAGCTCAGCTTCCACCTGAACACGCTGTGTGTGGTGCACAAACCTGCCGAGCCCCTAGGCACAGCTATATAATAAGATGTTCATTGCCAGCAGATTAAAATTCAGTTTAACACCTATTTGCCCACACAGAGCTGAACTGGTAGCAAGGAGCAGGTCTCATTAGCACTCTGCTGTGCTGCTCTGTAGACCCAGGAGCTGATAGCAGTTATTTATACATCTAGAAAGTAGGTATAAACCACAGAAATTATTACAGTTGTGCTTAGGCTGGGAGACAAAGGTACACTGGCTCACTCTGTGGTGCTGGGTGCCCCAGGGTTTGGGATATGAGGCTGGATAAGGGATATGTAGGAAACAAACACCAGGGAGAGAGCAAGTGGTTCACTTGACTCCAGAAGCCAAGAAATGCTATAGGATCCTATGGTCTGGCCACGGTTCTGGACAGCATAGTCCTCTGAGTTGCATCAAAATAAAGATTTTCTTAGGAAGAAACCCTCTTCTGACATGGAGATCATGTTTTTACTATTATTAAATATTAATTAAAAATATCAGTAGGAAGGGTGCTTTTAATTTCTGAAGGCACAGAGGTCCAGAGCTATCGAGCTACAGTAGCTGACTTTCATTGCAACTGCATTCAGACTGGGATTTAAGCATCCCATTCTTTGTGCAGATCTTTCTTTCCAGGAGTTCAAAGAAGAAGGGAAACAAAGTTGCATTTGAAGCTGGACTACAAGTTGGTCAGCTGCACAACCCACCTGTTTGGTAGACAGGATATTGCATTACACTTGTATTTGCCTTTCTTATTTAAACAATAGCACATCTTCCCTAGGAAACCAACAGTATTTAACTAGTGCTGAATTACAAGTGACATGAAGAACCTGGTTTTGCAAGGAAAAAAATATGAAAAAATTTGCATTGATTAAAGTTCCTAGCTTAAAATTATTTCTTCAAAGTTCATCTAACTGCAATGAAAGCCCCCATAAAACCAAACTACAGTAGAAAGTGTATGCATATAATTTGCATAGCTGCCATTCAGAGGCAGACAGGGTAGGAAATAAGAGGTTACATGCTATTCAAGCTCTAACCCCAAGCCTCAACTCCTTCCACAGTCTCAGCACAGCTGGAGGTTTTTTGCTAAATTTGTCACCAGTGTAGCAAGGAACAACCAAGAAAGATGGAAAGAGAGTAATTAGACTTCAGGCTCAGTATCTCAGGAGTAGGAGCAGAGCAGCTCACCACCCCTTTGAAACCAAAAGCTGATCTCAAAAAACATCATAAACCCAGCCCAAAAAAAAAGGAGATGTCACCAAGTGGTTGCATTTGTGTTTAGGATAGTTAAAAAGACAGAACTGTATTCAGTTTTTCTGTTGAAAGAGAGAGTTTAAACCAGCTAGGAGTTTGA